TGTTCAACAGCTTGAAAGTTGAAACCCTTCCCCAAAGCAAAGAGCTAACATCTACCAATTCCTTTGGAGGGTCTACCCTCTTCTCCATTGGGAAATGCAAATGCCAAATATTTATTGAATTAACTCTTTGGTTGATGGATCAAATAAGTAAAGAAATCCCAGGGAGAAGGCTCTATTGCCCCTTTCTCTCCTCCTGTTTCCCAAATCCACCCCAGGCAGCACCACGGCCTCAGGGCTCGTACCAGGAGGTGAGGACCAGGGGGAGAAGCTGCACAGGCATCTTTGGTTCCACTTTCTATCCAACTTGCTACTTTCCCCCAGGTTACAAGTGCATAAAAAGGGAGACAACCAAGTATAAAGTGCAAAGAACACAAGATTGTGCAAGATCTGTATCTGGATGTCCAAGACCAAGTCCAGGATCTGCCACAAACCTGTGGGGAGAGGCCTGAAGAAATCACATCCTGCCTCTGGGCTTCCACTTCCACAGCTCTACATTAGAGGCCTGAGCCAAGTGATGCCGAAGATTTCTTTCTCAAGTTCAATGGAATGATTGTAAACAAGAGTCACCACCCCACCTTATTCTAAGGGAGAAAGTTATAATGAACTCTGTGATATTAGATTGAAATTGGAGATATCAGTATGAATTAATTATTTTTAATAGATTTATATATGCATGAGGAAGTATACATAAATATATTTTCTAGCTCTGTCTCCTGAAAGAGCCTAGAAACAATTGCACCCAATAGCAATATGCACATCTAGCATCTACATCTTGGTTTCTAAATACCATTCTCCAATAAAAGGAACCAGGGTTCCTTGGAGAAGTGGCTGATTCCAAGGCTGAGGCAACGAAAACAAAAGATGAGCCTGGGGCATCTTGTGGCACCAGAAAGTTAAGACAGTGCTCAAAAACTGATGGAGCACATCAAAAGGACACAGCAGACAACCTGAAGGTGCTCCCAATGGCTAAAGTCAGAACAATTTGAGCCAAAAAAATAAGTAATGATTGTTCTGGATTCTAACCCATAGGATGAAATAAATATTCATGAGTTCATACTGATTGAAAATAAACAAATGAGGGAGAAGGGAATTCTATAGGCTTTTTCTTAAAGAATAATTTCAATTAATACTTGTAAAAATAAAAAAAATAGAAAATCATTCAGTTGTTCATTAAAATGACAAGGAGCCATCAAGGGAAAATCTGTTCTTGTGGATCTCCTCTCTGGCTGGATTCCATTATCCATAGTATTTAATTAAATAAAGCTTTCAACTCTGTTCTTACAAACTCAGCTGGGACAAAGGCCCACTTTACAGATAGGGATGTAGAGGTGCTAGGTGGCAGAACAGGAGCCTGAGGCCCTGGCTCTAGGTCCAAAGTGGCTCAAGTTCTACCCAGCACCATTATCCTATCTCCCCACCCTCTGTGGGCCTTGGAATTTCTGAATTTCATTTCTTCCCTTGAGTTATTGGTCCCCATATGACCTATCAAAACCCTAATTATGCTTCAAGATCCAGTATACTTCACCAAGAGTGTATCAGGACACATTTGGTTGCAAATAATGGAAAAGTGAACTCAAATCATCTTAAGCAAAAAACGAATTTCCTGACATATATAACTGAAAAGTCCAGTGGGAGTCTAGCTTCAGGTTCAGCTAGATCTAGGGACTCAAATGACACATCTCTCCATCCACAGATAGGCTTTCCCCTCATGCTGGCAAGATGGCTGACAGCAGCTCTAAGCCAACATCCTATACTCTCAGCTAACCCAAGGGGGACACCCCAAAAGCCCTGAAGCTGACTGATATTCACCGAACAGCATTGGCTCAAGTGCCCATCCGTCTCTGGATCAATCTCTAGGACAGAGGAAGGGACTCCACTCATAGCCAAAGTCACATGCCCACCCTTGGAGCTGAGGCGGGGGTGAGCCCCACTCAATCCTCATGGTGTGTACATGACATAGGGGTAGCTCCCCAAAGGAAAGTTTGGATGCTGCTCCCCAGAATGAGAATAGCTCTTGAGCTGCAAAATTAATATACGTCCACTATACCCCAAACCCTTAGCCAAAATCAACTCAGTCTTGCCTCCTCCAGCCTATTGTCTGGATGTCTGTACCAACAGTGACTTCTTTCTGCTCTATGCACAGGCCAGTTTACACCCATCACCTCTGTTTATGAGCATCCTGAGCACAAGCAGTCTGGTTCTCCAAAGCAACTGGGTCCCACTCCATGCCCTCACTGCCTAGCAAAGTGCCACTGTGCCCCTAGAAAACACTACTTCATGCTGGCTCCCACCCTCTCCTGACGCAGAGCTGAGTCACTGCAATCCCAGCCAGCCGAGCACCAACCTTGAAAGTGCTTCTCGAAGTCACTGCCTGCCGAGCTCATCTCCTGGCTCTGGCATACTCTGGGACCTAGAGACACTGGCTTGACAGGTGAGATAATTATGTTTTACCCTTCACTCACTTCTTTATCAGTCTCGCAGACCAGAACAGATAAGTGTTCCAATGGAAGAAAACACTCCTGCAGTATTTACTTGTGCCCTTTAGTACCAGCTGGCTCCCCTTTCCTAGGCACAACTCCCAGGAACCAGCCTACACCTTGTTATCTGGTGCCAGCCACCACGTGCTGCCCTCCTGTCAATGCCAGGCTGCACTTCCTTACTGCATCTCCAAAGCTGTCAACTTCTCCAGAACCTGCAGCACCACGGCTTTCCAGATGACTGACAAGTGAAGGGCACTTGTCTTCACAACACCCATCCCCCTGCCTGCTCTGCAGATTCCCCAAGGCAGAGGGCTTACCCTCTGCCCTGGCCCAGACCTCTCTGCAGAATGTTGCTCTGGTGGGTTCCAAGGCCTATAGCACTGGTTAGATGGAGAGAAAGGGGGTAGGGAAAAGTAGGGAGCATTAAGTCTCAGAGACAAGGACTTTGAAATCTTCCGATACAAATTAACATTTCATTCATTCATTCATTCATTCATTCAACAAACCTTTATTTAGGACCTACTGTGTCCTGGGTACTGCTGTAGGTGCTGCAGACGTTGAGATACACAACACAAACCATCTCTGTCCTCATGAAACATAACTTCTAGTAGACATCTGACCTATTTCTGATAACCATGTTAAATTTACATTCACAACACACTGTCTCAAATACTATCCATATAATCCTCAGTAAGTGGTATAACCACTATAGTCCAGAGAAGGAAAATGGCACTCCAAAAGGTCAAATGACCCTCCCAGAGCTGAGGCATAACCTCAGATCCTCTGACTACAAACCTTACTCTCTTTGTGGGGCCTCTCCGAAGGCAAGAAGCTAGCAGGGTACAACCTGGCATTGAAACAGACATTAAATTCAACTCAGTCCCCGGCATCATTGCTGGAGGTAGAAGATAGAGAAAAGAAAGGCCCAATCCTTATCTAAAAGAATCTACAGTCTAAAGAGAGAGAAAGACATGTAATCAACTATCACCTGTGGCAGGAATAAAGAAGATAAAGTGATTAAATTCAAATAAGTAATTTCTCTGGAAGGATATATAGGAAATAATGATCACCTCCAGACAGGAAAATTGGGTACCTAAGAAACAGGTAAAGGAGGATCATCTTGTATGTTCAAATATTATATATTTTGAATTGTGTATCATTGAATTTATTTCCCATTAAATGACATTTTGAGGATGCAATCAGCCGAATCCTGAATGTGGGAAATTCCACAGGATAAATGATCTGGTTTCTTCAACAAGCAAATAGCTCAAGGGAAAAAAAAAAAAGAGGGAGGGGAAATATTACAGATTTGAAAGGATTTAAGAGACATCAACCAAACATAATACACACACTTTGTTTGGATCCAGATTTGAATCAACTTTAAAAAGAAATTTGAGGGAAAACAAGGGAGATTTGAATATGGACTAGCTGTCAGAGGTTATCAAGGAGCTAATGTCAATTTTGTTAGGTGTGATCGTGGAATGGTAGTTCTTTTTAACATCCTTATCCATTAGAGATACATACTGAGGTATTTACAAATGAAATAATATGAAACCTGAGATTCACTTTTAAATGTTTCTGCAAAAAAAGAAACAAATCAATAAATAAAGAAGTAAATGAAGGAATGAATAAAGAAGAGAGTAGATGAAACAAGATTAGCAAAATGTTGATAATTTCTGAAGCTGGACAACAGTTCCACAGGGGTTCATACTGCTCTCTCTGCCCTTGTGGATGGTTGAAATTTCCATAATGAAAAGTTTAAACAAAAATTTAAAAATTAGTTATTCCATCCACCTAGGATGACTGAAGAAAGTATCACAGAGGAGAGATGTTTGAGCTGAGTCCTGAAGGAAGACTAGGAATTTTCTAAGGGACAAAGGGCATTCCAGACTGTGCAAAGACACACAGACCTATCACAAACCTCTCTCTAGAAGAACCAAAGGTATCTACACTTGACCCCAAATTCAGCTTCCATCCCACACAAGTGCCGCCTTGCTTGATCCTTCAACTCTCTGGGACATGGAGACAAAGATTCAAACTCAACGACCCTGTTCCAAGTGAGAATGGAGTGTGCGGGGTTGACAGCTCCACTCAGAGGCCTAAGACAGGCGCCAGTGTTGCCTTCAGAGGCAGGCAGGAAAGCAGGAAAGCAATTACCCTCTTTCAGCTGGGTTTTGCCTGACAAGGCAGTTTGGAAGTCAGTCGGGTGATCTTAGGGACAGAGCCTTCATCCCTCCTGAGTCATCCCAGACACCTGAGCTCTCAGAAACCCACAACAGCCTTCCCAACAGCCCCTTATAGACTTATAAACTCAGTACCAGGGGATCCAGCTTGATGACGCCTGGTAGCCCAACCTATGGGCACTCAAACACCCCCTCCTTCTTCCCAAGCCACCAGCCTCAATCCCCACACTGTCCCCAGCCCACCTCCAGCTGCACACGGGATGCTCGCTGGCTGTGCAGGCACTTCAGGATTTCTCCAGGCCCGGCCTGGCTCAGATGGGTCCCACGGCTCCCTTACCTTGGATCGAAGCTGCAGGTATTCCTCTGAGCCATAGGGGACACTCCTCAGGGAGGTAAGGTAGTCGTAACTGATGACAGCTGTCTGTGAACCAAGGAAGAAAAAGCCTTAGCACCAGACATCAAATATTCCTCCTCTGCCCAAGGCTTACAGCTGCAGGCCCCTGATGCAGGCGGTATGTCTAGAGAAGTAGTCCCACCTCTAAGACACTCTATCCCCAGATCTTGGTCTGGCTGGCTTCTTCCTGTCATTCAAGGCTCTGCACAAATGCCACCTTTGCAGAAACCCTCAATCTGCAGTTACCCCCAACCACCAGGAACTCTCAATTACTTATCACAACAAACCACCGTCCAAAATTACCTTGCTCACTGTTTCCTTGAATATGGACTGTCTCCACTTCACTAGAAATTAAGCTCTATAAGCTCAGGGGCATAACCTCTGCACCTTTTACAATGCCAGACACACAGGTAAAGTACATAAATACTCAGTAAATACTAGTTGGATGAATGCTAATGGATAAACTTATCTCACCCTTCTATCACAAATAAACAACATTTCATATTTACATTTGCTCTAATAGCATAAATTTTAATTCTGGGTCCCTTAGCCAAAACTCCAGAGAGGCTCCCTTATATTTAGTGAATCAGAAAATTACAGGCACCCAGGTATCTCAGGCACAGAAGAGCCTTGAGGGTTACTGAGCCCAAAATTTCTCTTTTAGAATTGAGCCACTGAGGCCCCTAGGAGTTCAGGGGCTAATGAGGCTGGGATTTTTTTACATATTTATACATGTTCTTTATCAGTAAATTTAAGTGTTTTCCTATATACATAGTCTAAAACATAAAGTGATTTGTATGTTCCCAATTGAGGTGAATAAACTACCAATTTTCAAAAATTTTAGCCATGATGAGACAAACTAATACATTTCTAGTGGTATAATCTTTTTCAAAAGCATGCTGACCATATGTTTAAAAAGATACAACCATATTCATTCTCATTGACTAAATAATTTCAGTTTTGAGAATATTTCCCTGGGAAATGATCAAAAACCAACCAAACAAAAATTGTACCACAACCAGTGTTCATTCTTCACAAAACAAAAAAACTGGAAATAATTTAAATGTTCTGTTGCAGCAAAGTGTGTTACAGCTCAGTATTACAGCTCAGTTGTGGCAACAACCTGGATCCTGACGAGAGACTAAGCAGCACTCTGAGGGTTGAAGAATTCAGGTTTATTATGCAGGCAAGCCCAGAAGAATTAACACTCCAAGCTCTGGACCCCATCTGTAAGTTTACACAGGCTTTTATAGGCTGCCAGTCTAGACTTTGCAACATCATATGCAAATAAGGTATAACAAAGTTGACCAATCAGGAATGAGCTTTTTAGAACCGGACCAATCAGGAGTGAGCTTTATGCAAATGAGTTGTTACAAATGGACCAATCAGGAGTGAGCTCAGAGAACCAATAGAATCTTAGGGGTAAGTTCTGCTTTCCTAGAAGCAAGCCATTTTATAGAGGCAAAAAGCAAGATAATGCCATCCAGCCAGGGAACCAGATGGCACTGGTAGGAAAGTAGCAGCCCTACCTGGGGGTCCTGCCGGTCTTTTCATGGGGCTTCCCACCTCAGTTCCACAATATATAACTGGTTTAGTAAATTAGAGTGTATAAAGTTGAGGAATGTTACATAACAAGGCTGATATTGAGAGGAGTCTGTTCCTTTGTCTAAATCCTTAAAGCTTTATTCCATTCCACACATACTTGTCAAATGCCAACCACCAGCAAGACCTGGTCTGAGTGGTGTACAAGGCTAATCGAGACCAGAGCCCTGCATTATGCTCAATGAAATGAGTCAGACAAAAACTGAATGATATCACTCATACGTGAAATCCAAAAAGTACAACAAACTAGTGAGTATAACAAAACAGAAGCAGACTCACAGATACAGAGAACAAAACTAGTGAGTACCAATGGGGAGAGGGAAGCAGGCAGCAATATAGGGGTAGCGGATTAAAAGGTACAAACTACTAGACATAAAATAAGCTATAAGGATATATTGTACAACATGAGGAATATAGCCAATATTTTATAATAACTATGAATAGGATATAACCTTTAAAAATTGTGAGTCACTACATTGTATACCTGTAACTTAAATAATATTGTACAACAACCCACACTTCAATTTAAAAAAAACTTTTTTAAAACAAACAAAAAGAAATCTAAATGCCCTCCCCACACACCCCCCCCCCCAAAAAGACCAGAGCCCTGGCCTTTAAAGAATGCACAACCTAGTGGCTACTTTATAAAACACTGATTTATACCTTCCTCCCTCCTCTCCAACTATTCAAATCCCTAAGGTTCCATCCAAACCTGCTTCCCCTAGGGCACTCATCCTGACTCCCAGCCCATAGTGCTCACTCCTGTGTCCAAGGTCCTACAGAAGCGGTCACTTGAGTCAACACATGGCTTTAGATTGTTTTTGGACCCGTTCATGTGGATACTCCTCAACCAGAAGCTCCTTCAAAGCTGTGTCTGAGTGGGACAGTTCACTTCTACCCCTAAATAATATAAGACAACGCTGGGCCCAAAAAAAACCACTCAGCAAACACTTGGGAATCGTTTCATATTCCATGGTCTGTCTATCTTGAGTTTATGACTCAGTTTACCCCAAGTGGTGTTACCAAATCCAAACTCATTCTGCTCACCTCACGACAGGCCAATAAATTGGGAGACGAGGTGTTGGGGCAAGGAATAGCGACTTTATTCGGAAAGCCAGCAGACTGAGAAGATGGCAGGCTAATGTCTTGGAGAACCATCTACTCAAGTCTCTTTTATACTAAAGAGAGGAGGGGGTGTGGTTGGTTGTTGCAAACTTCTTGGTATAGGAATTCTTTGTTCTTATAGATGTCTGCAGTGGGTCAGGTCATGGTGCCCCTGTAAAACCTCTAAGAAAATAAGTGTTATTTTCTATTCTGCAACTTGTTATCTTTACATAAATGAAAAAGTGTTAATATCCTTAAAGGTCAGAGCCTTGAGAATAGGCTCTCCTGTGTATTTCAGGCTAAAGACAACATTATTTTACAAAAAGTGTAGAGCTAGCAAGACTAAGCCTAGAAAACAGGGCACAAGGTTAAAACCAAAGAAACAGATCTAATATGGAGTCAGATTTGTTCTTTTCTGTTACAGAGGCAGGCACCACATCTGAATCAGGCTGGGAAGAAGACTTGACAGCACTGAGGATTCAGGAAATGCTTAGACAACAGCCCAAACAGACTGTGCAACAGAGTATGTCTACACCAAGAGGAGGAAAGGGTGGCTCATCCTGCATCAGACAAAGAAGGAAAGAAAAGCATGAAGCCTGTGGCAATCTACCTACCAAAGGAACAATGATACAGGCATGTCTGGGAGAGCCGCTTGTAACAGAGTTAAAAAGGATATGATCCCACCAGAACGATGTTCCTGAGGCCCTGGAGAAAACCTCGAACAGTCAAATATTCAACTCAGATTCTCTTAGTTTGGGGATTGGAGGGGATCCCCAAAGTTCTTTGAGGCCTAGATACTCAGTATGAGCCCTGCACACAAACCACTCCCTCCAGCTCACTGGAGGCAGACCAAATTTTCTGGTAAAATTTATTCAAAACTGCAAAGTCCTCTTTTCATGCACATTTGCTGAGAAGACCGCCCACCCCGAGTCTATCACTAAAATACAGTATAGAAGGTTCTGTAAAGATAAAGGTTTCAGAACAGAGACACCATGCAATCCCACTGTATCCTACTTCAGGATGGCAGAGGTTGTGTGTATAGGGATGTGGGTACATGAGTGTGCACATCCATGCCTGTGCAACTGTGTAGTGGGAGCTTCACACATGTAAGGGCACACATGATCTCCACAGACATGTGACTGGCATGTCCATCTGCTGCACGTAAGAACACCTGCAAGTTAACACTGCAGTTCCTCTGTTCCTCCCTAAAGGAAGAGAACCTACCGTGGCAACTGCTCTGCCCACCCTGACAGCGCCAAAGTCATTGGGGTCCAAGTACTTGTTGCCATATAGATAGAAGCCAGAGGCAGCAAGAGCCATGCTCGTCCACGAAGCAAGCTTGAGAGCCCTTCTGGCCATGTTCCCGACCCTGCAGAAGGAAGGCAGAGAAAGGGGAGCAGTCAAGCATTTTACAGGGAGTCAAATTCAAATCCAGACTCTGCTACTTAATCGAATGTATGACCTTGCGTCATTTTCTTAATCTCACTGCACCTGAGTTTCCTCATTTGTGAAAAAACAGGATGATACCTACCTCAAAAGTTGTTGGGATAAAATGAAATCATGTATATAAAATGCTTAGCAAAATTCTCAGCCTAAGTTAGCTCTCAAAGTCACTCTTCCTTCCACAGCACCAGGCACTGTTCTAGGTACTGGGAAGACAGTGAACAAAACAAAGTTCTTACCCACGTGGTGCTTATACTCTAGAGGGGATGGCAGATCATAAGTAAAAAGACAGATACTAGAATAGAGGCATTATTAAGTGCTGAGAAGAAAATCAAAGCGGGTAAGAGGAAGGATGATGAATATGAGATAAAGGATGCTGTTTTAGATAAAACAAGCCAGAGTGTGTTAACCACTGTTACCTGAAACTATTATTAAACCACCACGCACGCACAGGCGTCATGAGCCCTGTATGTTCAGGTCAGAAGTGGCCACAACCAAAACGCAGCTGGTCAGAAGCAGCCAGGTAAGCCCTCCACGTCTGACTGATTTTGAAAATATTTATTTTGGTTAGAATAGACAACCCCTTGTCTAGACTGTAAGTTCCATGAGAGCAAACACCATGACTATTATTAGTTTGTCCACGCACAGTCCCACAGGGTGCTTTATGGTTAGGGGCTCAAGGTCCACCTGCTGCTTTGCCCTGTTTAACCAAACTCCCACTCCCACTCAGTGGGACCAAGTGGGCTGCCTGATACCTTTCCCCATCATACTTGCACCGGCTCAGTCCGCCAGGTGGCTGTACAGTCTTTGGGCCACTGCACCCAATGGCTGCTTCCCCTTCAGTTCCTGGGAACTCTGTATCGGACTAAAATCCTTGACCACGGCTGTGGCTGCCAGTAGAGAAGTCTCACCCAGGACAAGTGCCACCACCAAGCCACCTGGAGGTACAAGCCCTGCACAGACACAGCAGGAAAATTTAGATCATCACCCTGTTTGCTTCTGCTCTGGACTCAGTCTGTGACCATGCCCTCCCTGCTCTGTGCCTGCTTCCCCTTCATACGGAAACAACTGCTCCAAACAGCTGTGTCTTCATTTTCTTTAAACTCTATTTTGACTCACGCCTCATAATACAGCCACATATTTTTTTAAAGTATCCACAGGGACATCTTTTTCCATTCTTTTACTTTCAACTTACATTTTATACTATTTCTCTAAATAGCATATACTTGATTTTCTTCTGTTTGCTTTTAATATAAACACTTATGTATGGATTTAATTTTACCATCTTCTTCTGTGCTTTCTATTTTCCTACCTGTTCTGTTTCTTTTTCTCTCCTTTCTTGACTTTTCTGGACTCATTTCTTTTTATAATCCTATTGTTTTTCACTCTGCAGTTTTCTTTTCCTAGCCAGCATTTCTAAAGTGTGATCAGAGGAACACTTGCAAAGAATATCAACCTGGGTGTCATTTCAAAAATGCATATTTCTGAAGTCTGCTCCTTGGCCCACTGAATCATTAAAGCTGTGAGTAGGACTCAGGAATCAGCATTTTAATAGAAAACATAATGGGTTATTTTTATGCAAATTTGAGTTATCACACTTACCTCCCCATTACCTATCAAAAAGTCCAAATTCTCTTAGCAAAGCATTCAAGGCCCACCCCATTCCCATCCAAACCCACCTTTCCAGCTTCATCTTCCAAAATATCCCCCACCACACACTCAATCCCCATTATTCCTCTATTCAAGCCTTCTGTAAACCAATCAGAATTCCTTGTTCCTTCCTCTCTGGTCTTATTCTGCATTGCTTTTACCTCTAATAATCTGGTCCTATATCTGCCTCTTCCACTAGATGCAAAGGCCAGAATTCATTAATAAATAAACAAGCGAATAAAATAAGTCTGCTAATTTTAAAAAATGACTGAATGAATGAGTGAGAGAGTGAATTTTTCCCCAGTCTACCTTTAACAAGGAAACTTAAGTCCACGTATGCATTCTTCTGTTCTCAACTCTCCAATGGCTGCCACCTCACTCAAAGAGCCAAGGCCTTGGCATAGCCTATGAGGCCCTTCATGATCTGACTCCCCAGTTCCCTCCAGAGTCTCAGGCTTTCTCACTTTCCCCCTTGCTCGCTCCACCCCAATGACACTGGCCTCCTTGCTCTTTCTTAAACACGCCAGGCACATTCCAGCCTCGGTGCTTTTGCACTGGCTGTTCTCTCTGCCTAGCACAGGGGTCAGCAAACTTTTTCTGTAAAAGGCCATAAAGTCACATTTTTGGCTTTCCAGGCTATAAAGTCTCTTACAACTACTCAACACTGCACTGCAGTGCAAGGTAAAAGGAAGCCATAGATGATATGGAAAGTAATGGGCATGGCCAGACGTGGCCTGCAGGCTATAGTTTGCCAAACCCTGGCATAGCCCGTAGTAATAGGTAATAGGTACTCCAAAAGTATTCACTGAACAAATGACTCAATAAGTGGAGAAACTATATCCCATGAGACCTGTACAGGGCCAGCAACAACAAAGGTCCTCAGTGAGAATCACGTACTCAGGGCTGACAACTCAACAGCCTTCCTCCTCCAGTCACCCCAGCACCACCTCCCAGCCTTGCCTCCCCAAACCCCACCCTCCTTTTGCACCACCCTCTAGGCCTGTGTCTCTAGGCAATGAGGCCACCCCTCACCTTGAGACCCCCTCTGTGTAGGGGAGCAGCAGAGAAGCAGGTACGACTCCCAAGACCCAGTTTTCATGCAAATGTCCTCAGTAATAAAAGAGGTGGAAATTGAAAACCATAAAATAGATGATATAGGAGCCAAACTGTGTCTAAATAGACTGGAGCTGGAGTTTTCCATAAGGTGTCAGTGAGTCTTTAACATGTAAATGAGTTGCTTCCCTCGGGGTATTTTAAAAGACCCTGTCAGCCGTGAAATATGTCTGTCGATGAAAAACACCTTTCATTATTAAACATTTTGCTAATGAATCACCTGCCCTATTCTGTTTACTTGTCTTTTTGACTTTCATCTGAGTTGCTTCTCATAACAGCACACTCTTTTTGTGTGTGTGTGTGTGTGTGTGTGTGTGTGAAAGGGACCTTAGGCCACTAGACCCTAAAACTAACCATTAGACAATAATATTGCAATAACTGACCTTTACATAGCCCTTTGCACTCATTATCTCACTAGATATTCCACACAACCTAGTGAGGGGAGATAAATATTACTACCAGTCCCAGGTATAAATGAGGAAAACCAAGGAGCAGAGAGGGTGAGTGATTTGCTCCAGGTGGCTCAGCTAGTAAATGGCAGGATAGACCTTGGGCCCTTTCTCTTCACCGCATGTGATCTCCCTGACAGGGACTCACAGACCTGGATCACCAACATTCTGCCCTCCATACTCAAGTAACCACATCAGTCACTGTGGGCAGAGGCTATAACTTCTGACCCTCTACCACCCGCAGACAGTGCCAGGCACGGGGAAGGCGCTGCTTTGCACCCTGAAAATCAACAGCACGTCACAAGACCAACCAAAACGCACCTCACTAGACAAAACCAATTGCAGGCAATGAGATGTTTAGGAGAGCTGTGTTATTGTCAAATCAAAGATGAGAATGGAATCCATCTTACTGGACCACGAGAAACATACCAGCAAGTCATGAAACGAGGCAAGAGGAGAGTCTGAGAAGTTCTACAAATGAAAAGTTGATGGTCAGATGAAATTCCATCCCCTGTACAGAACTAAATAGGAACCAAACACTTTCTGGTCACAGGACTAGGCCTTTTCAGCTGCCATCCATCTGCTGCCTCCTCCCCATGCCACGTTCCAGGACAAGAGCCTAGAATCTCCTCGCCCTATTTGATGCACAGGTAAGAATGGCCAAAGAGGAAAAAATTCAGGGCTCTAATCCTATTAATCCCATAAAGTGACCACAGCTCCTCCTCCCATTTCCTAGAGAGACTGTTGGGCAAATAAGCAGTATTTCTTTTGGTGTGCTCCCAAGACTGAAAAAGACCAATAATATCCTTGGAGAGAGTGATCAGGTTTTCAGGGAAAACTGGTTAGTGATGTGGATAAAAAGCAGCCAAGGTAGATGATATCATCATGTCTCAAATCAATGCCAAGGGACCATCTAGTTGGCCTGAGCAGGTTTAGTCTGCCTTGCCCTGCAGATAGGAATGCAGCCCAAATGGAATCACTCCCTTTCCTAAACGTTTGATCCTAGAGGGTGATTCAATCAATATTGATTAAATAGAAGGACCCCTGACTGACGCCGAGGTCCCAGAGTAGACAGGCGAAATAAATCTCATCCAGGTGAGGAATAGAAATTCTCCATTCACTTCATCCAGAGATAGGGAGACTCAGGGAAAAGAGCGGAAAGCCAAGCACAAAGAGCGAGTAGCAGGTAAGAAGAGAAAAACGAGTGAGCTTCTAATGGGAGAGGTACAGGGCCAAGTGCTCTACATCTCATGTAACTCACACAACTACATTCTGCAGTGCATACTAGTAGAGCCTCATTCTACAAATGAGGAAGCTGAGTTTTAGAATTCGTAAGATATTTGGCCAGGAAGCTAGTAAGCGATGCAGCCAGAACTTGAATACAGGTGTGTCTGCTCCAGCCAAGAGAGCATAAGGTGGACGAGACAGGGCTTACACAGCCCTGAGGTGAGTCGCTGGAGTGCCTTAGACATGGATAGCTAAACCCAAATGGTTTATTCAGTAAGTTGGGGAGTTGAGGGGAAGAGGAGTGGATGCCTAAAGCAAGCACCATTCTTACAAGTCCCTTGTGTGACAAGAAAATAAGTATATATGTGGGAAAAAAAGGTAAACACTCCCAGCAGAGGTCAAATGTTACATCCCTGAGGGCTGCTGAGATATAGCCAAACAAATAAAGACACAGTAAAATAGACTATGATGTAAACCAGAAAAACTGACACAAGTGTATGCTACATGAAAATCTGTATATAATGTGGGGGAAGTAACAGTGAAAAAAGTAATATGCACATGTTTACTATCACTACCAAAGTTAGACTGGCAAGCCAGGACAGAAAGGCCCATGATCAGAAGTGAAGATTTGGTGCTTTATGTTCACAGGATTTTTTCCTACAAAACAGTAATACTCAAAAGTATATCTTCAGAGCAGCAGTAGCCGCATGTCCTAGAAACATGTTAGAAATGCGAATGCTTGCTCCCCACCCCGGACCTACTGAATCAAAAACTCTGGAGATAGGGTCAGTATCTTGTGTTGTAACAAGCCCTCCAGGTAATTCTGACGCACGATACAGTTTGAGAACTACTGCAATAAGAAAATGCTTCAAGAAAATGTGCGAAGGGGCAGATAAAGTCTAATGCACTTTCAGCTCGGCAAATAATTTCGTGAGCACCCAACAAGTGCGTAATCAATAAATAGTTGTTGAACTGAATGACTTCCTAGAAAGTAAATGCCACTTAACCTGAGGAAAGAGCTGTACTTGGCGTCTTCTAAAGGCTGCTCTCCGCACACCGCCTGTCATCAGCACACGTTTATTGTGCGATCTGGAAGCTCGGGGCCCTGCAAGTGCTACAGATGACGTGCGCTCTGGGGCGCGCGCCGGTGCAGGCGGAAGGCAGGGATATCCGCGCGCCCCCTACTCGTGCCCAGACCTCGCCGCGACGCCTGCGCCTCAGAGCCCACAGACCACCTGGGGGGAGGACATCTGGGTGAGCTACCTGCTCCGCCCTCCTCAAGGTAGGAAAACTACACCAAGACTGCGCCACGCTTCCGCCCACTGGTGAGCCAGGCTGGAGAGTCGCTGCAGAGGGGGCGGGGCACTGCCAGTCACCCGAGCCACGTGGCCGCGCGCTGGGCCCTGGGTGACAAGGTCACCGGCCCAGAGTTCACTCCGGGCTGGCGGCCGGAGCGGAGGCGGACGGCCGACGCGTCCACGCTGGCTCCTCCGCGCTCCCGCGCCCTGCGGCCCTGGCTGCTCCCGCTCTGCGCCGGCCTCTGAGGGGCTGCCCCTACTCACCCTGAGGGAAACAGAGCCGCGGCGCCTGGTTTCCGGCCGCAGCCCGGTGGCGGGGTTCCACAGGGTACTTTGCTCGACGCTCCCACTGATTGCGCTTAGTTAAGCCGAGGCGCCGCGCGGCCTGCCGGGACTTGTAGTTCTTCATGGTTCCCTAAGCCGTGGGGACAAGGGTCAAAGAACCACCGCAGTCCCGCTGGACCGCTCCAAACGGGGAGGCAGAGGGGTCACAGACACTTTACCTGTCAGGTAGCCAATCCCTTTGACTGGTCTGGGGACATGGAGTCTTCTTGAAAACTTACTTTCAAGAGGCTTTCCAAATTGCTCATAGATTTACGTTCAGTGGAGGATGGAGTTAATGGATTTGTGTATTTTAAATAATGTATTAGAACAGGCAAGGAAGAACTTAAGTGATAGTTGCTGAATGATAAGAAAGTACTGACCAATCTTAGCCATCTTTGTCCCTCGTTCATTAATTCATTGACTTCTATTTATTGAATAAGATGTACTTTGTTTAAAATACATACTTTGGAGACAATCATCAGACCTTCATCTCCTGAGCGACTTCGTCAGGGGATAGAGACAGGGCGGAAGATTCATCTACCAATCAATGCAATTCCAATAAAGTTTCGAACAGGATTTTTTTCTAGGCCTTCACAAGCTAGTCTAAAACTTATGTGGAAAAACAAAGAGCAAAGCATAGGCGAAACATTCTTGAAGAAAAGTAATATGTTTCAAGGACTTGCCCTTCCATATAGCAACATTTATTATAAAACCGTAAAAATTAAGACCATAGGATAGGCAGCAGGGAAAAATCGAACAGCCTAGAGAGCCTAGAAACAGATCCAGGCATATGTGGAATCTTGATGTATGACAGAGCTGGCATTATAAGTCAATAAGGAAAGATAGATTATTCAGTATATGAGCTGAAACAACTAGTTATCTGTTGGATCCCTAAATCACCCCCCACACAAAAACTAGTTCCAAGTAGGTAAAAGAATTTAAAGGGAAAAATAAAAATCAGAATTTTTGAAAGAATATTGTGTAATAACCTTTATTGAAAAAGAATATGAAAATGAATATATGTATGTATGTACATGACTGGGACATACTGTACACCAGAAATTGACACATTGTAACCGACTATACATCAATTTTTTTTAAAGAACTTTTGAAAAGAAAATAAAGGAAAACATCCTACGACCTCAGGGTAGGGTTTATTAAATGACATAAGCACGGTATAGAAAACTTTGATAAATTTGGATTACATTAAAGTTAAGAAGTTTTCTCATAGAAATGCATAAAGAGAAAGGTCAAGCCATTAACTGGGACAACTGTAGCAAAAGCTAATAGTAGTATAGAGTCACATAATGCAGCCCCCACCAACTTGAGTTTGCAATGTATAGGTGTTAAAAAAATGAATAATTTTCACGTGGTGTGAGAAGTGTCAGAGATATGGACAAAGTGGTATAGGAACACAAAAAAGAGAGTACTAATTTTTCCCAGGACATTTTGAATGCTTTGTAAACTAAGATCTGACTTACAGGCTGAGAATCAAAAGTTGAATAGGGGTTCCTCGGGAGAAGGGTGTTGGAGAGCAGCCCAGGGAAAGTCATATAAAAAAGCATAAAGATGTGGAATACAGTAAAAGACATAAAGATATTTAAATTAAAAATGGAAAATTTAAAACCACCCAGAGAGAAAATATATTAAAAACTTAATATGTATGGTTACTCTAATTGAAACTTTATGAAATTGTTAGTAGCAGGCTAGCAACTAACCCTGAGGAATGGGAATGGGGCAGGGGGGCTATAGCACTTTCAGTTTATACTCTACACTTTTGTAATATTTAAAATTTTTTACAGTGGATGTGTGTGTAACTTTTATAATAAAAATCCAAAGGAAACAGAACAGGAGACAGCAGCAGATAGGATAAGTAAAATAATAACTGTGGGAAGCTCCAAGCAGTAGGCAAGTGAGGCACTTGTAAATAAGCCAGTGCCTGAGACCTCTCCCCTAAAATTCTGATTTTAGGGTCTAGTGTGTAATCTGGGCCTCCAAAATTCTTAAAAAGCTTCCCTGGTGGTTTTAATGGACATCTTAGTGGAAAGGCTCTGTTGAGAAGGCAGTTCATGTAGTGAAATGTGGGTAGATGGAAAGCAGTGGTTCTAGCCCCGTAGAATCACCTAGAAAGCTTTAACAATCCTCCTGGGCCACACCCTGAACCTCTTAAATCCATTTTCTGGGGATGAAACCCGAATGAAAGTTATAAAGCGCCCCAGAGGATTTTCATGCATAGCCAAGGTTAAACACCACTGATTTAGAGTCACAGAATCTTGTTTGCACTTAAAGCAAGTTTTCTAATTTGCAGAGCTTTCACTTTCTTCTTAGTAAAATGATAAAATGGTGATTCCCTTCTTGATAAAAGATATTAACTATCATCTATCCTACCTACCTCAGAGATTCTTGTGCAGATCAAGTGAGATGATGTGTGTGCTTTGGAAACTGAATGTTGCTGTGCAGATGTGTCGAAATGTTGCAGAAAAAATGTGTTACAGCTCAGTGTTATAGCTCAATGTTACAGCTTGGTTGTGACAGCAACCTGGATCTGGGCGAGAGACCAAGCAGCACTCAGAGAGTTGGAGAACTCAGGTTTATTACACCAGCGGGCCCAGAGGAGTTAGTGCTCCAAGCTCTGGACCCATCTGTAGGTTTACACAGACTTTTATAGGCTGCCAGTTTACACTTTGTTACATTATATGCAAATAAGGTATAGCAGAAGTTGACTAATTAGGAGCAAGCTTTGTAGAAATGGACTAATCAGGAGGGACAGAAATAACCAATTAGGAGTGAGGGAAATGGACCAATTAGGAATGAGAGAAATAACTAATCAGGAGTGAGCTCCATGCAAATGAAGTACTACAA